TTCAGGATGGTCACCTCGAAGAAGCAGGACCAGGCACTGCCATTCTAGCATTACTTGTGTATATTGTACCTTAATAACCAAATTCAAGATGCCACTTCTAGGGGCTATTCAATGCAGTTTTTTTTCATTATTGTTGTTTTGTTTTTTGAGACGGAGTCTCGCTCTGTCACCCAGGCTGGAGTGCAGTGACGTGATCTGGGCTCACTGCAATCTCTGCCTCCCGGGTTCAAGCCATTCTCCTCAATGCAGTTTTAACTGCACAAAATCCAGAAAGTAGAAGAAAGTTTAGGAGCTTTTGGCAGCAAAATTCCCCAGGTGGAGCAGTTTAAAGAAAAATATGACCGCAAGGTGGGGCTGCACGGCCAGTGCAAACCTTCAAGTCACAAAGCAAGGTAGCCACCTCCGATAGATGCATTTGGAAGGCTGCTCCCTTCCAAGAAGAGCCCCTGGTGTCCCAGCAGTCCCTGACCACCAGGAAGCCTGCAGCTGCAGCTGCAGTGGGTCACCATGTGCGTGATACAACTATGCATGAAGGGTGAAGGGGTTGGCAGCTCAGCCCTGGAGCATCTCTCTTATTCAAGTTCAGCCCCAAGTCATGGGTGCTTGGAACTTGGACCTGTTGACCCTCATCGGCTCTATCTAGGCAGCAGGCAAGGTGAACCCACTGGGCGGTTACACTAGGGCCCTGCTATAAGAGTGGCTTTCATTCCCCTCTTAAGCACCAACTTTGTGGACAGAGCCCAGGAATCTGTATTCTAACACCCTCTCCCTATCTCTCCACCCCCATGGTGTTTATTAGGCAAACTCAGGGGAAGCTGGCTATGCCAACAGGGCGGCTGCCTCTTTAGCTACATTTGCCAAGAGAGAAGGGCAGAGCTGTCTTCTCCAGGTCTCAGCCTCATGGTAGGCTCTGGAACCGCAGCAACACAGGCCAATGTGAGCCACCTGTGCAGCAACCGCTCCCTCCCCACCCTGCACAACACAGCAGCAGGCAATCAGTTTACCGAATATATAGGAGAAAAATAATGTATTTATTTAATTTAAAACAGTAAAACTTCAGCTTCCCCCCCCATCAGGGCTTGTATGACAATTCTGCAGATGCAAAAACTCACACTTTTGATGCCACGACTAGAAGTTTGTAAAAACAATTTTTCTTGTTGTGGACACGTGAAGAGTTCTGTCTGTACCTTCAGCCTGGGTCAAATAATAATCTTTATTTAAAAACAAAACAGAACAAACCAAAAACATCTCAAAAGCACAAAGAGGCAGACAGCGGCTGGTAAACCTAGTTAAAAGACCAAAGTTCAGAAAGTGCATGGGAGAGGGACGCTGAGCTGAGGACACTGTTCCGGCTGCAGAACGTGTTATGGCTGAGCTTACACTTGGGTGACTAGGGGATGCAGGCAGATAAACATTAACCACACTAACAGAGGAGACAGAAGCCCACTGGGGCTGTGCAAAGTGTCCAAGGAGCACAGCCCCTTTTGCCCTCATCAGATGTAACAGCCCTTCACTTGAGCCCAGGAGTTCGAGATCTGTCTGGGCAACATGGCAAAACCTTGCCTCTACAAAAAATCGAAATTTAGGCCGGGCGCGGTGGCTCAAGCCTGTAATCCCAGCACTTTGGGAGGCCGAGATGGGCGGATCACAAGGTCAGGAGATCGAGACCATCCTGGCTAACATGGTGAAACCCCGTCTCTACTAAAAATACAAAAAAACTAGCCGGGCGAGGTGGCGGGTGCCTGTAGTCCCAGCTACTCGGGAGGCTGAGGCAGGAGAATGGCGTAAACCCGGGAGGCGGAGCTTGCAGTGAGCTGAGATCCGGCCACTGCACTCCAGCCTGGGCGACAGAGCGGGACTCCGTCTCAAAAAAAAAAAAAAAAAAAAAAAAAAATCGAAATTTAGCCACCCCTGTGGTCCCAGCTACTCGGGGAGCTGAGGTGGAAGGATCGCTTGAGCCTGGGAGTTGGAGGCTACAGTGAGCCATGACTGCATCACTGCATTCCAGCCTGGGTGTGGTGCTCCAGACAGCAAAACCCTGCCCCACAAAAATAAATACATTAAAAAGAAGTAACAGAAGTAACACCCCCTCCTGGACTTGTTTTATTTTTTGAGATGGAGTCTCACTCTGTCACCCAGGCTGGAGTGCAGTGGTGTGATCTCGGCTCACTGCAACCTCTGCCTCCCCGGTTCAAGCAATTCTCCTGCCTCAGCCTCCCAAGTAGCTGGCACTACAGGCACACGCAACCACGTCTGGCTTTTTTTTTTTTTTTGTATTTTTAGTAGAAACAGGGTTTCACCATGTTGGCCAGGCTGGTCTCGAGCTCCTGACCTCAGGTGATCCCCCACCTTGGTCTCCCAAAGTGCTGGGATTACAGGCGTGAGCCACTGTGCCTGGCCCCCTCCTGGACTTTTAGGATGTGACTTCCTTCCCATCCAGTCTGTCTGTCTGAGCACTACCCACCCAGCTAGACTGACTTGGTAACTGGATCTAAGGAGGAAGCGATATTGCTGTTTTCAAGGTCGGTGGGCCAGAGGCCTGGGCTAAGGCACTCAGACAAGCCCCTGCCCTGCCCACCTGGTCACCACCATTCACGGTGATCATTCATCTGTGGCAAGAGGTGGGCAGCAGAGGAAGCTGAATTAGATACCCGACGTGTAACTTTTTGGAGGTTTTTACAGAAGCAGATAGAGTGGCCAGTGGCATCAAAGAAACGGAATGAGAACTTGAGCCCAGGCACCCAGAGCAGGTGTTTTCTGAGCCCTCAGCTCCCTCTACAGGCCTTTCCTGACCATGGCCAGCCCGTTTGGGGAGTCACGTCTCAGCCCTGGCTTGGGTACAGCAGGGAGGGCTCTGGAGGCCCCTGCTGAGCAGGGTTGATTCTAACACTATTCCTCTGTGTCCTAGTATTGTCTTTTCTCTTTTCTCTGTAAATCATGTTCTCTTTTGCCGCAAGCAAATTCCTGAATTTTTGCTGCCTTCTAGAAGCTCAAGTGAGGGTCTTTACCAGAGACATACCCAGAGATTTGCTGTAATGTCCTTAGGGGAGTCCAGAATTCACTTACAGAGGCTATCTCTGCCGAGTGGCTTTCCCTGGAGCAGCCCAGAGCTCTCTTTCAATCCTAAGGGGATGTTTGTCTCGCTAATTTCCATCAAGAAATCTGTTTTCTTGGACAGGCACAGTGGCTCATGCCTGCAATCCCAGCACTTTGGGAGGCTGAGGTGGAAGTCAGGAGTTCGAGACCAGCCTGACCAACATGGTGAAAACCCATCTCTACTAAAAACACAAAAAAATTAGCCAAGCATGGTGACAGGTGCCTGTAATCCCAGCAGCTTGGAATTGAGAGGCAGGAGAATTGCTTGAACCCTGGAGGCGGTGGTTGCAGTGAGTCAAAATCACACCCCTGCACTCCAGCCTGGGCAACACAGTGAAACTCCATTTCAAAAAAAAAAGAAACAGAAATCCATTTTCACAGGAAACCAAAAATCAGCATTTTGGACTCAGTCTGCTAAATGATTATTCCTTTCCTGATACAGATTTTGGTTTTGAGAGTCAAACAGGGATCAGCAGCACAATGTGACTTCGGTTTTGATCCAGAACCATTTTACTAAGCTCAGAAAAGCATGCTTTGTCGAGTTCCGATGGATTCCAAGGGAAACCACCTATCACAGGTAAAGCTGTACTTTCTCTCGCCAAGCCCCTGGAGGTAGCATCTCCACTTCCCATTCTTTGCCAATGGCTCCTGTGACTAAACAGAGCAGCTTTTTCTGAAATAAGACAAAAGCGTTTGTGGAAGAGCCACAGAATAAAAATAGAGATACAAGTGCTTACTTTCAATTCTTTTCTTTTAAATGTAAATAATTGCTCCATGATCCATGCTGCCACTTACCCCAACTGAATACCAAAACAGCCGAATCCTTTTGAATCCTTTTTTTTTTTTTTTCCCAGAGACTGTCCTGCTGTTTCCCAGGCCAGAGTGGCAGTGGTGCCATCCCAGCTCACTGAAGCCTCAAACTCCTGGGCTCAAGGGATCCTCCCGCCTCAGCCTCCTGAGTAGTGGGGACTACAGGCACGCACCACCACATAAGCTCTAGGCGAAAGAATGAGGCTCCTTCTCAAAAAACAAAACAAAACAAAAAGCTGAATCTCAATCTTAAAACCTTCACCTTTAGGGAGGAATGTTTGTTTGAGACTGAGTTCACTCTTGTTGCCCAGGCTGGAGTGCAATGGCGTGGTCTTGGCTCACCGCAACCTCCACCTCCCGGATTTAAGCGATTCTCCTGCCTCAGCCTCCCAAGTACCTGGTATTACAGGTGCGCATCACCAAGCCCGGCTAATTTTTGTATTTTTAGTAGACAGCAGGTTTCACCATGTTGGCCAGGTTGGTCTCGAACTCCTGACCTCAGGTGATCTGCCCGCCTCGGCCTCCCAAAGTGCCGGGATTACAGGTGGGAGTCACTGTGCCCGGCCTGAGGAATCATATTTGGATTACTCATCTCTCCGGCCACTTTAACTTACAAAAAACTAAACTAAGAAGTAAATAAGCCAGAATCCCTCCCCGCTCACCCACTTTGGTCTCCCCAAGAACAGGAGGATTATAAGAAAGGAGCTGGGGGGACAGTGGGGTCTTCAGGGGTTCCCTGAGACGCCTCTTCCTGCCCTTGTTCCAGCCTTGGAATCGGAAGGAGGGAACCTGTGTCTGAAGCGGTTGACAGGTGGGGGCAGGAGTGTGGATTCTGGCCTGTGCTTGACACTCAAACCCAAGCTACAGCAAGGGTTAGCAGCCCACAGAGGGCGAGGCCAGGAGGCGCAGGGAGACTGCTGTCCCTAAGCAGCTGTGCTGGGCTGTGCTCACCCCTGGTGACCACCACGCAACCTCAGGGGAACCTTCAACCCGGTGAATGGCAGCTGGTTCCTCTGTTGAGCAAACTGTCCAAGGAAAGCTGGGCTCTCCAGAGAATCTCAACACCCGGATCATGATGTCTCAACACCATGATGTCTGGATGGGGACACATCTCTGGGGCCCCCGACAGCTTATTTAATCACACGGAAGACAGGTGCACAGGTGTGGACCCCTCAAATTGTAAACAGTGCTGTGCAGTGCTGTGTGGCCCTCAGGACACCAAGGTCCACTGGGTGGAGGCCCCGTGGCTGCAGTCGTGGACCACTGGTTTCCCTGAATCTCACTGCTACCCTTATGCAGATGAACGCCCACCCCAGTGCGCCAGGACACTGGCACAGGTGGAACTTGCTGCCTGAGGATCCAGGAGGTAGAAGAAGCTGAGCTGGCGGCTGCTCTCCCAGTGGAGCCGAGAGCATCAATACCCGGGGCTTCCGGTGCAGCAGACATGCACTTCTGCCCCTGCAGCAGGGACGCACAGAAGCGCCCACCCCCAGGAAGGCGGCACCTATGCACAGAACTAGAAAGGACAAAAGCTCAGGTGCTTGGAAGTTCCCCTGGGGTCCCTTGGAATTCCTGAGACTCTCCTGGCTTGGAGGGCGTGGGCGCCTTGGGAGTGCCGGCCGGGCTCTTGGTGGGAGGCTGAGAAGAGCAGCACCAGCAACAGAGAGAGAAGAGCCGGGTTCGGACGGCGCGGGTGCAGAGGACGAACATGATGCAGTTGGCACCTCCCTGAAACGTGTTCCCGATACCCTGTCAGGAGAAAAGGAGCTGTGAGCATGGGGCTGGAGTTGGTCTCAGAAACACACGTTCTCTTAATTCTTCCAATTAAGAGAAACGGCTAGGCTGGGCACGGTGGCTCACGCCTGTAATCCCAGCCCTTTGGGAGGCCGAGGCAGGCAGATCACTTGAGGTCAGGAGTTGAAGACCAGCCTGGCCAACATGGTGAAACCCTGTCTCTACTGAAAATACAAAAATTAGCTGGGCGTGGTGGTGTGCACCTGTAGTCCCAGCAACAAGGAGGCTGACACAGGAGAATCGCTTGAACCCAGGAGGTGGAAATTGCAGTGAGCCGAGATCCCACCACCACACTCCAACCTGGGTGATAGAGCCAGACTCTGTCCCTGAGCCCCCCCTAAAAAAGAGAAATGGCTGAGAAACACACACACACACACACACATGCACACACATGCACACACATGGGGTGGCTGGGAAGTGCTGTGTACCCCAGCACCTCCCCCCATCCTCCCTGCCATGGCTGATCTGGGATGACCTTGGCAGTGGGCCTCCAGCAGGGCTCCAGATCTTCTGGGCTGGGAAGGACCCAGGAGCAGTCAACTCTCCTGGGGCTACTCCTAGGCCACTGGTGAGCACCTCCCCACCCCGGACCACACTGATCCCACTCTGTCTCCTCTCTTCAAGGTCCTGTCTGGGGCAGAGAGGAAGGCACAGCACAGTGGGGCCGAGTTCCCTCCCTGCAGCTGTGCCTTGGCCGACACTGGGGTGCAGCCACTGTGCTGCGGGAAGGAATCAGGCTGTGCCTCCTCTGGGGGCCGGGATGACAACAAGGGCCAGGGAGGGCAGACCTACATGCAGAACGACCAGCACCGGCGTCTGCACCGCGGGGGAGTCACAGAGGGTCAGCACGAACCGCACAGTGCTCCAGACCCGGAGGCAGATGAAGATGAGCGGGATGAGCACCAGCTTCTTGTCCGCCACGGAGCAGCGGCGCGGCAGGCGGTGCTCCTCGGAGAGGATGGGCCGGTACTCAGAGAGCGCCATGTGCTGTGTGGGGACAGCGAGGGCAGACCTGAGCGGATTGGCACCCTCCCGTCACATCCACCCGGGGTGCCCAGGTCTTCCCAGGGACCTGAACTAGCTCAGGGAGGTAGGGGAGATGGGCGGTGGAGCCCGGATCCTTTTCCTGACCCCTGACTGCTAGATCCTCCGCCCAGTCCCCATCTCCATGTGGAGGTCTCAAAGTCATCTGAAACAGCTCAGGTCCAAGACAGAAGACAGATCTTGACCCCTGAGGCCAATGCTCCCTTCCTGGTGTCAGCTCATGGAAACAACAGCTTTCCAGCTGCCTAGGCCAAAGCCTTGGGGCTCTGCTTTGAGCCCTTTCTTTGTCCCACAGCCCACATCCGACCCCAGCAAGTCCTGTGGCCCTCTTTGTTTGTTTAAAATAGATACACGGTCTCACTATATTGCCCAGGCTGATCTCAAACTCCTGAACTCAAGCAATCCTCCTGCCTCAGCCTCACAAAGTGCTGGGATTACAGGTATGAGCCGCCACCGTGCCGACTTCTAACTTCAAAACAGATCCAGACTCTGGGTACTTCTGCCACCTTCTGCCACTGCCCCATGTCCAGGCTGTGTCACCGCTTCTCTGGATGGGCTCCCTCCTCCACCCCTGCCACCCCGTCCTGCTCCCCACTGCGGTCCATTCTCAACACAGAAGCAGCAGGGCTGCTTGAAAACCGGTCTGCTCCAGCGAGTCCTCCACTCGGAGCTCTTCAGTGCTCCCCACTCCACACGCTCCTTATGGTCACAGCGAGGTCAACCCTTATGGTCACAGCGAGGTCAACCCTGCAGCCACATCGACCTCCTTGTTATACTGCAGACGCACAGCACCCACACCCCAGGGCTCCACACTGGTTGCTCCCTTGCTCTGGAATGCCCATCTCCATCTGTCCCTGGGGCTCCCCCCTTGCCCACTTCAAGACTTTGCTTAAGCAGCACCTTCTGGATAAGGCCCGATGCCCCTATTTAAACTGCACAGAGGCCAGGCATGAAGGCTCATGCCTGGAATCCCAGCACTTTGGGAGGCCGAGGCGGGCAAATTGCTTGAAGTCAGGAGTTCGAGACCAGCCTGGCCAACATGGTGAAACCCCATCTGTACTAAAAATACAAAAATTAGCTGGGCGTGGTGGCACATGCCTGTAATCCCAGCTACTTGGGAGGCTGAGGCAGGAGAATCGCTTGAACCTGGAAGATGGAGGTTCAGTGAGCCGAGATCGTGCCACTGTGCTCCAGCCTGGGCAACAGCAAAACTCCAGCTCAAAAATAAATAAGAAAATAAATAAATAAATAAATAAATAAATAAATAAATAAATAACTACACAGGCACTTCCTAGATAGTCCCATCCTCACGTTCCGCTCTTTATTTTAGTCTGTTTCCGATAGTTTGTCTCACCCTCAGTCCCAGGACATCATTCATCCTTGTTCCTCCCGCTTACTGCTTATCATCGTCCTCCCCTCCAGAATGCAAGCCCCTTCCCTGCACAGGGAGGGCCTGCTGTGCCCCCCGCCCACCCACCTCTCCAGGAGGAGAACAAAAACGTGATCTTGAGCCAGTCTTGGCTTTCCTCCTCCTAGAGAATGTCTTTCATGAGAGGAAGGAGGAGATTCCTTCCAGATCAAAGCTGAATTTGTAAAAATAGATGAAACTACTCATAATGAAGATGTGCTTTTTTTTGGCCGGGAGTGGTGGCTCATGCCTGAAATCACAGCACTTTTGGAGGTCAAGACAGGAGGATCGCTTGAGCCCAGAAATTTGAGAGTAACCTGGGCAGCAGAGTGAGACACTGTCTCTACAAAAAATTTAAAAATTAGCTGGGCATTGACCAGGAGCAGTGGCTCATGCCTGCAGTCCCAGCACTTTGCGAGGCTGAGGTGGGCAGATCACTTGAGGCCAGGTGTTCAAGACCAGCCTGGCCAACATGGTGAAACCCCGTCTCTACTAAAAATACAAAACTAGGCTAGGCACAGTGGCTCACGCCTGTAATCCTAGCACTTTGGGAGGCCAAGGTAGGTGGATCACTTGAGGCCAGGAGTTCAAGACCAGGCTAGCCAAAATGGTGAAACCTGTCTCTACTAAAAATACAAAAAAATTAGCCAGGCATGGTGGCGCATGCTTGTGGTTCCAGCTACTTGGGAGGCTGAGGCATGAGAATTGCTTGAACCCGGGAGGCAGAGGTTACAGTGAGCTGAGATTTGCCACTACACTCCAACTTGGGCAACAGAGCAAGACTCTGCCTTAAAAACAAAAACAGAATTAGCCAGGTGTGGTGGCACACATCTGTAGTCCCAGCTACTTGGGAGGCTGAGGTGGAAGAACAGCTTGAATCCAGAGGTGGAGGTTGCAGTGAGCCAAGATCGTGCCACTGCACTGCAGCCTGGACAACACAGTGAGACCCTGCCTCGAAAACAAAAAATGCATTTTTGAGCTGGTCCTGTGCCTGGGACGCTGAAGGCCCAGGGGAGGGGAAGTGCCCAAGGTTTTCTGCCAGCACCTGGTGTCCTGTGGAGTCACTGGTGCATCGTGGCATCTCTGAGCCCCCAAGCTTCTGCAACTCACCTGCTCAGAGCCTTCCTCCTCCTTCTCCTCCTCCTCCTCCTCCTATGGCTTTTAGCAGCAGCCCAGTGAGCTGGACTTCCCGCTGCACCCCTCCGAAACAAGTACGGGAGCTACAGGGTGGGACTGCTGCACGAACTGCCCACTAGCTTGGCTGCAGTCTGCTCCTAGCGGTGCCTGTCCCAGCTCACCGACTCTTGGCTCTTTCCTAGCTAGAGGCAACTAGCACATTCTCAGCTCCCTGCCCACTGCTACCCCGTTTTTCTGAAACACTTGCTGATTTGGAAAAGAGGACCCATTGTCACCCACAGGGGTCAGCCTCAGCCCCGCAGGCTTCCTGCCCTGCCAAAGGAAAGGCAGAAAGAAAGACACACAAAGGGCATCTGTAGAGGAGAGTCCTGGGCAGGGCCTGGCGGAACGCCTGGGAGCCTTCATCGGGGTCCCGGAAACTTCCCAGGGCAGTGGAAAAGAAGAGGAGGTGAGAAGGGCATCCATCACCCAGGCAGGAGACCAACAGTTAATAAAAGGCTATAAGAAGACAAAAGAGGATTTCTTTTTTTTTTTTTGAGACAGGAATCACTCTGCCACCCAGGCTGGAATACAGTGAACTCCCAGGCTCAAGCGATCCTCCTGCCTCACTGTCTCAGCCTCTCAAGTAGCCAGGACTATAGGCATGCACCAGCACACCAGCTATTTTTTTTTTTTTTTTTTTTTTTTTGAGATGGAGTCTTGCTCTGTCGCCCAGGCTGGCGTACGATGATACAATCTCGGCTCACTGCAATCTCTGCCTGTTGGATTCAAGTGATTCTCCTGCCTCAGCCTCCTGAGTAGCTGGGATTACAGGCACCTGCCACCATGCCTGGCTAACTTTTATATTTTTATCATAGACGGGGTTTCACCACGTTGGCCAGGCTGGTCTCGAACTCCTGACCTCAGGTGATCCACCCACCTCGGCCTCCCAAAGTGCTGGGATTATAGGTGTGAGCCACTGCGCCCAGCCTTAATTTTAATTTTAATTTTTTTTTTTGAGGTGGAGTCTCACTCTGTCACTCAGGCTGGAGTACAGAGGCGCAATCTCGGCTCACTGCAACCTCCATCTCTTGGGTTCAAGCGATTCTCCCACTTCAGTCTCCTGAGTAGCTGGGACTACAGGCGTGTGCCACTATATCCAGCTAATTTTTGTATTTTTGGTAGAGATGAGGTTTCACTATGTTGGCCACACTGGTCTGGAACTCCTGACCTCACGTGATCCACCCACCTCGGCCCCAAAAAGTGTTGGGATCATGGGCATGAGCCACCGTGCCCAGTCCAAAAAGGATTTCAGACCAATTGGGAAGTCCCACAGCCATCTCCAGCAAGGAGTCCAACTGAGGCAGAAGAAGGGTCTAGGGCGGGTGAGAACTGGTTAAATTTCCAAGTAAAAAGAAGAGAAAACTAGAGGTCTTGATGCGAGAAGACACAATGGGAGTGGAGGGCGGGGATTAGGTGTCCAGATGGCCACAGCTGCAAGGTGCATCCTGGCTCAGAAATGGCTGCTGGGTGGACAGAATGGCCTACAAGATGGGTACACACTCTCCTACAATTTCAGCCCTGAAAACTCAGAGGGCAAAAAGAAACACAGGAACTCACACCAGCAAGCCTGCAGGATGAGCCCGGAAGTCTGAATTTAGAGCATTTCCTCTGGACCTATCTTACTGCCCCAGCCACTCCTCACATTGAATCTTTGCCTGTAGTTACTTGCACTTCTGCCTCACTCCGGGAGGGCGAGATCCATGTCCGAGTCCTCAAGATAAACCCCCATGCTATACACAGTTTGGTGCTAGTAGATGCTCAGTAAAAACATACTGAATGAGGCTGGGCACGGTGGCTCACACCTGTAATCCCAGCACTTTGGGAGGCTGAGGCAGGCAGATCACTTGAGGTCAAGAGTTCGAGACCAGCCTGGCCAACATGGTGAAACCCCGTCTCTACTAAAAGTACAAAAATTAGCTGGGCATGGTGGCACGTGCCTATAATCCCAGCTACTCGGGAGACTGAGGCAGGAGAATCACTTGAACCTGGGAGGCAGAGGTTGCAGTGAGCCAAGATGGTGCCACTGTACTCCAACCTGGGCGACAGAGCAAGACCCTGTCAAAAAATAAACAAAACTAAAGTAACATACGGTATGAGTGGTCGAGTGGATCAATGAATGGGTTAATCTGTGGCCTTTTGCAGGCGTTTGCTTGTGGCCAAGAGGAAGCCCCTAGTTCACATATGCAGACTGGGAGGCAGGGACAAGGAGGAACTGGGCCAAGGTGTCAGAGGAAAGCCATGCTTTCCCAGGCTCTCCAGCCAGCCCAGCCTACTGATTTCTGAATTCTGGAAAACTCTGCCATTTAGGATATAATAAATCACTAGGCAAAGTTAGGTGAGTTATTTGCATCATTGATTGTGAAATTCCACAGTCCTCCCTTCCCTGGGGCAGCCCGGTCCTGGGTCCATCCTCCCCTTTTAGCTAAATTTCTCAAGTTTAAGCAGCCACTACAGGCCGTCCACCAGGGGGCAGGAGAGGGCCGTGACCGAGGACACGGCAGCCCTGTCCGCAGGAGCCCTGCGCCCCGGCAGGCCCTTAATCAGCTAAGCCTCCCTTTCCTTATCTACAAAGGAGCAAAAGGACCCGGCTCCTAATGGGGCAGCAGGAACCGATGCACTATCCATGTAATACAGCGTGTTGCATGGTGTCTGGTGCACAGTAAGTGCCTGGTCCCCTCCGGCCCATCACTGGTTCTGTCCCCAGAGACGCAGCCTGTCCCCTCGGGTGGTCAAACTCAACACCAGGCCTTGCACCTGGGCATAGAGGCCATGAGGAGGGCCCTGAGTTCTGAGGGCAGCGCCTACCGCTCTGTTGATGTGCTTCCGGACCAGGAGGTACAGCAGGGGCAGCAATATGTATGCCAGCATCTCCCATAGCTTCCCCGTCAGCAGCATCCACAGGACGTGGTCCTTGGCCTCTAAGTCAATCCAGCACCAGCCCACAGACACGTCCGAGGCATCGTAGCCAATCTTCTTCAGGGCGACGGCTGCCACAGTGATGACCAGCGGGACCCCCCAGCTGAGGAAGGAGGAGAGAAAGAGGCATTGGGGTCAGGCCATGGCTCCCAGCAATGTCAGCCCTCACAAAATGACAGAGGACGCCCTTCAGAAAGGGAATGGTGCTCTCTGGAGCCTGGATGGCACAGTGGCCCTGGAAAATAAGGGATAGGTGTTGCCCCAGGAGTCTGGCTCTACTTTAGAATTCTTCAGGGACTGGCATTAGAATGGAGTGATGTGGGACAGCCAGCTCCCAGCGTGTGCCCAGCTGCTTTTTCATACACGTGTGTACAGAGTTCGAGACCAGGCTGGCCAACATGGTGAAACCCTGTCTCTACTAGAAATAAAAAAATTAGCTGAGTGTGGTGGTGCACGCCTGTAATCTCAGCTACTTGGGAGGCTGAGGCAGGAGAATCTTTTGAACCCAGGAGGTAGAGGTTGCAGTAAGCTGAGATTGTGCCATTGTGCTCCAGCCTGGGTGACAGAGCGAGACTCCATCTCAAAAAAAAAAAAAAAGTTTTGTATACATGTGTGTACAGAGCACATGGCCAGGCAGGTGTGTGTGTGTTTGCTGCTGTCATGACTGCTGTGAGTCACGTCCTGCTGTCCCAGGGTTCAGGCCCGTGGTGCAGACACTGGTGCTGCGTGGGGCCTGTCTGGTTTCTGTTCTGGGAAGCCTTGGGCACCAGCGTGCGAACACCTGTCCATGCTCGTGCAAATGTGCCACAAACCATCAGCACCCCTTGGTCAGCCCTTGGGTCTAGAGGTGCACACGTCAGGGGCTTAGGGTTGCCTGGGCGGGGAATTCCAGGGTTCTGCTTACCTTCGGCCGGCTCTAGGAGGGGGAACGTGAGCTTTGAGCAGCACGTCCCTTCGGCCTTGAGGACTTCTTACGCAATGGCGGGGAATGGAACCTGGCAAGGGTCAACGGGGACCTCTGAAAGCATAAAGCTCAGGTAGGGGCCCCTCCAAGGGCAGTGTTGGGCTCAGTTATCTTTTTTCTTTTTTTGAGATGGAGTCTCGCTCTGTCACCCAGGCTGGAGTGCAGTGGCACAATCTCAGTTCACTGCAACCTCCACCTCCTGGGTTCAAGCGATTCTCCTGCCTCAGCCTCCCAAGTAGCTGAGATTACAGGCGTGCACCACCACGCCCAGCTAATTTTTGTATTTCTAGTAGAGACAGGGATTCACCATGTTGGCCAGCCTGGTCTCGAACTCCTGACCTTAGGTGATCCACCTGCCTCAGCCTCCCAAAGTGCTGGGATTATAGGCGTGAGCCACCATGTCCGGCCCAGGCGCAGTTTTCTAGAGTGCTCTCCCACAGCCAGCCACACAGCCAGGGGTAGGCCCCTTCCCTGTAGTCCCTGAACCAGACTGTTCCTTACACAGCAATGGAGCACACAAAGGCTACAGGGTTCCTGAGAGAGGCAGCCAGTGGGGTGGTTAAGAGCTTGGATTTCAGTGTAGTGGGCTGGATCCAAGTCCCAGCTCTGCCCCTGCTCGGGAAAGTTATTTAGCCTCAACACGCCAGGTTCTCTGCAAAGTGTGGATGACCACAGTGACAGCAGGGTGTCATTGTAGGGTCGTTACGAGAATAAACAAATACATGTGTGTACAGAGCACATGGCCAGGCAGGTATGTGAGTGTTTGCTGCTGTCATGACTGTTGTCACGTTCTGCTGTCCCAGGGTTCAGGCCTGTGGTGCAGACACTGGTGCTGCATTGGGCCCGTCTGGTTTGTCCGAGGAAGAAGACACAGTACCCCTGTCCTAAGTCAGGTGCCTGGAGGGCAAAGCCTTAGGTAAACAGGAATGATACTATGATAACTATGAGATCAAAATTCAACGTGAATCTGAGGCCAGAATGAGGCCAGGAGAATTGTGCTTCAAGGGGTTCTCCCAAATGCTGCAGGGCTGGCAGAGGAGGCAGGGCAGGGACGAAGATGACAGGGAAAAGTCAGTTCCCTGGGACTGGGAAGGCCTCATGCAGGATGCTTCCAGAACAGAGGGGCTCTGGCCAACCATCCCCTCTGCAGCGCTCTCCAGTCCCCACTGGCCTCTGTAGGGAGGGGCAGGAGTGCTGATGGCAGAGTCACGTCACCCTCAGTGGCCTCGGTGGCAGGAGGCAGCGTGTCCTGTTGGCAGTCACAGAGACACTGGAGCAAAAAGACCACAAAAGGCCAGGCACGGTAGCTCACGCCTGTAATCCCAACACTTTGGGAGGCCAAGGTGGGCGGAACACTTGGGGTCAGGGGTTTGAGACCAGCCTGCCCAACATAGTGAAACCCTGTCTCCACTAAAAGTACAAAAATTAGCTGGGCGTGGTGGTGCGTGCCTGTAATCCCAGCTACTTGGGAGCCTGGGGCAGAAGAATCACTTGAACCTGCGAGGCAGAGGTTGTGAACCGAGATCACGCCACTGCACTCCGGCCTGGGCGACAGAGCAAGACCCATCTCAAAAAAAAAAAAAAAAAAAAAAAAAACAATTAAAAAAACCCCACCCATAAAAGGTAAGAAAGGGTTGTTTTAAAACTCATGACGGGCGGGACGAGGTGGCTCATGACTGAATCCCAGGACTTTGGGAGGCTGAGACGGGTGGACCACCTGAGGTCAGGAGTTCGAGACCAGCCTGGCCAACATGGTGAAACTCGTCTCTACCAAAAATACAAAAATTAGCCGGGTGTGGTAGTGCATCCCTGTAATCCCAGCTTAGTGGGAGGCTGAGGCACGAGAATCCCTTGAATCCAGGAGGTGGAGGTTGCAGTGAGCTGAGATTGTGCCACTGCACTCCAGCCTGGATGACGAAGTGAGACTCTGTCTCAAAAAAAAAAAAAGCAAGTGGCCTTTAAAGTGCCACCAAGCCAATCCTCCAGTCATAATGTGCTGTTCCTCATTACTTTACAGTTGCAGGATTCCGCTAAGGAATTCTGGGAAGGGGGTGAGCACTGTATGTAGGAACAGTCTCCCTGGAGGGGGCTGGGGTCACTCAAATAGGGGATTCCCCTCTGAGTTGGGCCTGGGAGGGTCACAGTCGGCACATCACTCCTTTGGGCTCCCTCTACATCCCCGACAAGCCTTATGGGAAACCGGGGGACCACACAGACCCACACTCTGTAACTTTAGGGTTGCAGTACTAAAGCTACACAGCGGTACATTTCTTCTGTGATACTGAGTTTGTGCTGGGAAATAACCAAAGGGAAGGTCAAATAGGCAGTGGGTTTTGAAAGGGTTAAGAATGTGGGTTTAAATTAGCTGGGCGTGGTAGTGCACACCTGTAATCCCAGCTACTCAGGAGGCTGAGGCAAGAGAATCATTTGAACCCGGGAGGCAGGGGTTGCAGTGAGCTGAGATTGTGCCACTGCACTCCAGCCTGGGTGACAGAGCGCAACTCCGTCTAAAAAAAAAAAAAAAGAATATAAGAATGTGGGCCTGATCAACAGGGAGGGGTTGTTTGAACACACAGGAGGAGCAGCTGTGTGAGGGCCAGAAGCTGCCGGGGCGGGAGTGGTATTTAAGTGAGAGGAGGTAAGAGGTAGAATCAGGGAGCCGGTGGGAATGAAGAGAGTGGAATGGTCCAATGATCCTGCAAAGCAGGCTGGGCCAGACTGACTCATGTACAGGCATGGACAATGGTGTGTTGGGAACATTTCACAGCTGGCTCTCCAGAAAAACAAAGACGTATGCAGGTGTGCATGTATGCATGTTTACACAAACACATAGAAATGTATAAATTTCACCCGCAGGATGTGAAGCATACAATTTATAAATAATAATAATACTCCTTCTTTATCGTCCATTCCATGCAGCCAACTGATTCTCACAGAATGCTTTTATTGATTTCAGCCAAACCCTGGATTTTGCCAACCTGTGGATGCAATCAGCAAATGAGAGAGCTCCGTGGCATGAAGTTAATTGATGCTTTCATTTCCCTTAACAAGATGAAAATGAAATAAGAAATAGAAAACAAGACATACGTTGTCACCAACTAGTGACATGAGCAACTTCTTGGCTGAATCAGGTACGAGTTTTCTTCCCCCCACACTGGGAGAGTGTTTCCTCAATTTTTTTCTGCTTCATGATCCTGTCTCTTCTCATCTCTTCTTTCCATACTGGCTTTTCTGCCTGCCCCAACACAGCTGCCATCTCTTCTTAAGCTCAGAGATGAGTAACACTTAAGTTTAATCTATACCTTTAACGTCTTCTCCATTACTTTTTTAAGTCTAGATCAGGGGTCCAGCAAACTATGGCTCTCAGGCCAAATCTGGCCCACTGTTTGTTTTTTTTAAAGTTTTATTGCAACACAGCCACACTCAGTCATTTACAGATTGTCTACCTCTGTTTTCAGGCAGAGTTGAGCAGTTACAACTGAGGCTGCATGGCCCAAAAAGCTGAAAACACTTACTTTACAGGAAAACTTTGCCGACCTCTGCTCTACACAATCAACAAAGCAATAAATCAAGCCATCAAGCCTTGATTTGTAGTCTTTGCCAACTTCCATGTGTAAATACTTCCACCATGGCCAATTTCCAGCCACCAACACGTGTAGTTGGAAACAGATGCACGCAGCACACCATTAAATAGTATTTTCACCACACAGATTTGATAGATGCAACAACCTCAAGTGTGTAAAGAGTAAAATAGCTATCACATGATGAGCTTTGAATATTTATGGCTTTTTAAATTTTTATTTTATTATTCCCAGCACTTTGGGAGGCCTAGGCGGGCGGATCACGAGGTCAGGAGTTCAAGACCACCCTGACCAACATGGTGAAACCCCGTCTCTACTGAAAATCCAAAAAATTATCTGGGCATAGTGGCGCATGCCTGTAATCCCAGCTACTCAGGAGGCTAAGGTAGGAGAATCAATTGAACCAGGGAGGTGGAGGTTGCAGTGAGCCGAGATTGTGCCACTGCACTCCAGCCTGGGTGACAGAGCGAGACTCCATCTCGGAAAAAAAAACCACCATTATTATTTTAGAGACAGAGACAGGGTCTTGCTCTGTTGCCCAGACTGGAGTGCAGTAGC